CTTTGTTTTCTTGATGTTGAGCTTCAATCTATATTGAAGGCTGTAGCAAGAGCTTCAGGTCCTCCCCTGTATTCCTCCCTTATCTCCCTGTAATTCTTTGCATTTGTCTTTCACCCAGTGAAAATATTAAATCATTGCTCTTTTGAGTTCTTCTGTTTCAGAAAGTTCCATCAGACTTTCTGGCTTCAGGAAATCCACTGATTCTGTGCTTTTTTTGGGTGACATCTTTTTTTTGGTTTTGTGTAGGATGCGAGGTTTCTTCCCTGTTATTGCTGTGGCAGAGTTTTTCATGCCTGGGGCTCACCCTATCTGAATTTTTCTCTGATCCTTTGATACAAGAGAAGATTTGCTTCATTTGGGGAGAGAGACAGCCTGTGAATTAGCAGCCCTGTTGGTCAGGCAACTGCTGCAGCTAAGTGGGTTCCAAAGGGTCCACTGCATAAGTACTGGCTCTGAGAGGGACCAGACCTACCTAGGTGGTATTCGGAAAGGAAATGGCTTCAGCTATGATATTGGTACTCCTTATGCTGGAAAAGCACAGTGACATTGACATAACAATTGAGGCTGGACTTTATGTCAGTGTGGAGACTAAGTTGTGCTTGATTCAGGTCATGGACTGCTTGCTGTGCATCAGGAATTTGAGCAATGAGGGAGAATGACAGAAGAAGACTGGACAGTGAATAAGGATGACAGAAAAAGAATCAGTGCCTTTGAGTTGTAGTCTAGAGAAGAGTAATGAACATACTCTGAACATATTGAACATGGACTGCAAGAGAACAAACAGGTTTGTCCTGGAGAGGGTGAAACCAGGTTGCTCCTTGGACACAAGGATTTTGAAACTCTGTCTTATATGCATACGTTAGGCGTGTTGCAAGGAGGGGCCACTCCATGGAGGGACAGCACAAGAGAGGAAGATCCTGGAGAAGATAGATTGGCACAGTAACTGGGATAGTGGGTAGGTGTGTCAGTGGTAGTGAGATTGGCTCAGAATAGGTCATGGTTCAGAGCTATTGTGCATTGGATTGCTATGAGTGTCAAATGACTAGATGGCACATAAAAACAATGACAACAACAAATCTGCTTACCAGGTTGGGTCCCAGGTCAGGAAAAAGAGAACTTTTTTTTTTTTTTAGAAAATGAACATTTTAACCTCCTCCACTTTTTTCCCCCGCGGCCTCTTTAATGTCACTTTCAAGTCTAAGGTACATCTGACCCAAGCCATGGTTTTTCAATTGCTTCATGTGCATGTGAAAGTTGCACAATGAATAAGGAAACCCAAAGAAGGATATATGCCTTTGTGGTGCTGACAAAGAATACAGACTGTATCATCGATTGCCAAAACAACAAATAAATATATCTTGGAAGAGGTGTAGCCAGAATTCTCTTTTGAAGTAACTTCAACTTATATACCTTGGACATGATATAAGGAGGGTCCAGTCAGAAAGACTACAGAAAGATATCATGCCTGTAGAGTAGGAGGTCAAACAGAGTAAGAAAGACCTTCATCAAAATGGGCTGACCCAATGGCTGCAACAATGGGAAGAGCATGAGTTTGGTAGGATCCAGAAGCATTCTGTGCTTTTATCCATGCAGTAATTATGGGTCTGGCCAACTAACAATAACAACAATTACAATAACATTTCCAGAATAGACAAAAATGCAGAGAAGGTGGATAAGTGGTTGCTGTGGAAGGGGCAGGAGAATGGAGACTGATCATTCATGATGGGGATGGGATTTCCCTTTGTGATGGTGAATTAAGGACTTCCTTATGATGGCTATGACTAAGCTAAAATGTACATGTTAATATGATTAAAGTTGTGAATTTTATTTCAATTTTTAAAACTCAGCAGTTCAGATCCACCTGAGCCATGTTTCCGACGTGATGTTTCAGTATCCCAGGCACCGGCTCCCCTTCCTGCCCAGCAGACTGTGCCTGGTCCCTCCCTCAGTGACTACGCCCATAGCTGCTGGCAGAAAAGAACTTATAGCTATTCGCGGATACCAGCCACCATCCGCCCAGAGGGAAATCTTTCCAGCTTATCTGAGTAGGGGCCACTGCCTGGTCAGATCCTTGGCTCATCAGAAATATTCAAAGTGAGACCTATCCCTGGTAACCAACAAAAGGAAAAGTTAAACAATAATTTTTAAAAATAATTTGTTTTTCCTGACCTGGTTGGTTTACTTATTTTTTAAGAAAATGAGGCGGCAGACAAGTCCAACTACAACTTAGATTCCCAGCATCCCTCTGAGCCAGTTTAGCACAGCTTAATAAACTCATCAGGTCCATTGTAGGACCTTTTTTTGGATACAGAGAAAACAACCACCTGCCTGTTTATTGATCCACTATAAAATTTCTGAAAGGGGTGAAAAATCTCTCCTGAAGAACATTAATTCTATCCCTAAACTAGGGTGGCCATCATGCCACAGAACTGGATTGAAAAGTAAAACCAGAAGCTACTGCCTACTGAAGTATGCTCCGCCAAATCTCCCCACGGAGCCTCCACACCAACCTCAGCCTCTGTGCATAAGAACACACACATCACTGTCCTTGCTTCCCCAGCACTGATTCTGGGGAACCACACTGCTTTGCACCTGACACACAAGTATGTCCTACCTTGGCTCCTCTCATAATGCTCTCTAGGCAGCCTTGTTAGTGACCTATGAAAACTAAGAACATTTGGATTAAGTTTATTCCCAAGGCCCAGGGGCATCCAGGACTGTGGGGCACCGCTTCCTGCCAATTTACAGATTGTACATATGGCTTTGTCACAGCCGCTTCCCCAGCTTGTCTTGCCCTGTGTCTGCTACATCAGACTTCCAAGCCCTCTTGCCATCCCATGAGGTGAAAAATCGGCTGGGATATCCTCACTTCTCTGTTGCCTGGCCATCTCCTACAATTCCTTAAAAAGTTCCTCTAAGAGGCTTGCCCCACACCCATTAGGCTCCTATTCAACATGCATTCAAATGCCATCTATGTGACAATGCAATCACATGCAACTGGCCTACCTGCACCAGACCAGGGTCTTGAGGGCACAAGCATGACCTGCAGTGTCTTTGAGTCCCTGTATGGTAGGACAGAGCTTAGCCTTTGGTCACCTCAGCAAACATCCAGGGGGCCAAGCTGGTTCCAGGGGAACAGGGACTCCAAGTTACCACAAAACATACAATTCACTAGCTATTAAAAAGATGCAAATCAACATAATGAGAAATCATCTCACCAAGCAGCAATAACAAAGTTCAAAAGGACAGCAAATAACAATGGTGGGGATGTGGAGAGTCTATATCCGTCTTTCACTGCTGGTGGGAATATAAAATGGTATAACCACTATGCAAGGCAGTTTGATCGTTCCTCAAAAAGCTGAAAATTCAAATTCCATTTGATCCAGCTATTCCACCACTGGGAATATACCCTAAAGACACCAGAGCTGTGACACAAAAAGATGCATACACACTCATGTTTACTGCAGTTTTACTCACAATCGCAAAGAGAAGTAGTCCAGATGCATATCAACAAATGGACAGAGAAACTACAGTACATTCACACAATGGAGTATTATGCAGCACTGAAAAACAATGAAGAATGAGGAAACACAATATAACATAGACATCTAGAAGACATGCTGCCTGAAATAATTCAGTCACAAAAGGACAAGTACTGCATAGGACCACTATCATAAAAAAATAATATGATTACAGGGCAGGAGAGGAGTATAGAAAACAGAGGAGGATAGATAATAAATACTGTGTTGCAAGAGGTGAAGGAAAGGTCAGTGGAAAATAACAGATGATCAGATATTGGATGTACTGTCATTAACACTGTGGAACAGGATATACATGACTGGGGAGAGAACAACAAAAGCTAAGGTTTACACACAAATGGAAACAACCATGAAGAAGTGACAGTGATGTGGTGGATGGGTGGATGGATGGATGGATTGTTGTTATTATTGTTAGGTGCCATTGAGTCCCAGTATGTCTAATAGTAATCCTAGAACAACAAACCTGAACCTTGCCCTATCCCATACCATGTGCATCATCTCTGACACACGTAAGCCGACTGCTAGATGGATGGGTAGGGTGAAGGAAAAGGCAAGGTACAGTGAGGATTTGATGAGATGTTGTAATAAATGGCATTGATCAATTGAAATTAATGTTATAAAAGAAAATGTATATGAAATATTGAATGAAAATCCAATTAAAAACAACAAAAAAGCAAACACAAGAACTCATTAAAAACTACACAACATGATGAATCAAGAGGATACTATGCTGAAAAAAATAGTCACACAACTAACAATCTGGAACAGGACATGCACAATGAATGGTGGGGTGGTAAATCTGCATAAATAAGTGAATGAAAACCAACAAAACAAAATGAAACATACAATTAAATGTTTCCAGGTAAAAAGACACCAAGGAAGCTTCAGGTGACAGGCAAAGGCCAGCAGAAAGCCTTCAAGGCCTAGATTTTGCCCACCAATTCTGAAGCCCACATACCATCACCCCAAAACAGCTGGTCAAGTCATGCTCATGTTTTTCAAATTTTCTACCCTAAGTTCTTACTAGCATCTAATAGAATTTTGAAATAAGTACTTAAACTATCAAACTTAAAATAAGTAGGAATTTCTCATCATTCTAATTCCCAGCTACTAAGAGCAGTGTGGCAGAGCTGTTTCATGCTGTATATTAAAGCTCTTCAGACTGGGGAGCTTGGTGTATGCAAGAGGCTGAGTTGGAGCATGTGCTAATAAGGGACAAGTCACTTCTGATGTACACAGGAAGCAGAGAAGAAAAGCAGAAAGGATTCAACATGGAAAGAGATGGAATGTCAATTATACTCCTCAAGAAAAGAGGGCTCAATCTGCTGACATCACTGAGGCTCAGATTCAGTCCTGCCAAGAACCCGCCCAGTAAGCAAGGAAGCAAGCAAAGCAAAGAGAACCTCTCACTGCCCCTCACCCACCCAGCAAGAAGCATGAAGGAGAACCAAGGAGTCTTACCAAATGATTGCCAGGGGTCCAAGGTGTTCCCTGGGCCCGCTGGCCCGCCCCAGAGGTTGGTCTGGCTGGCTGTGGGTGTTGGGCCCCAGGGCTCTGCTTTCTGAGTCACAGGGACAGAGTTGGGAAGAGCATCCATTAAATCCAACAGAGTGGTCTGTTGTGGGTGGGAACTATGCTTCTGCAACAGAGGAGACAGGTTTCACATTGCTATCAAACACAACCCATGCCTCAAGTTGTTTCACAGCTAGCAACACTAGAGTACTGCGCAAAACTGCGCCATGGGGTTCTAAAGCCTTAATCTTTGTGGAAACAGGCTGCCATATCTCTCCTATGAAGGAACTGGTGGGCTCAAACTGATGACTTTTATGTTAGCAGTCTGAAGGCACACATTTCAAATCCACCCATGCAATTAACTGCCTCAGAAAACCTGCTGGAAGGTCAGCTATGGGTCAGTTCTGACTAGATGATACTCAATAACAACAACAGTCAAGCAGCACTTAACCACTGAGCCATCAGGGAGCACTTCTATCGCCACAATCACAGCAATGTCCATATCTATCATACTGCCCCCTCACTACGTGAGAGGCATTCCTGGGTCTGCCTCTTCCATGTGCCCACTGTCACCCAGCAACCCTGTAAGAAAGGACTCCTGGAGTGTGATGAGTTTGCTAGGAGCAGAGCCCATCCTGGTCGACTAAGCTGGGCAACTGGCACAGGGAAATAACCACCACAGAGCAGGTCTATGGTCAGAGGCTTGCCTTGTATCAGAAAATTCACCTAAAGCACCTGACAATGAACTTCATTTTCACTGTGGAGTCCTTGGAAGGTATGAATGGTTAATATTCCCTGGAAGAAAGGTCTGACCGCCTGCTTCTTGCTACTAGACCATCAGAGCTCTTTTGAAACATCAGTCACTGAAATCCTAAGCACAGTTTTCTGACACTATGGGGGTGGGTCTCCATGAGTCAGAATAGACCAAGAGCAATTGTTTTTTAATATTCACCAACAGAGCTTAGGCGGCATGCTCTGTAAGGAGATATGATGCTAACCTAAAGACCGATCCACTCTAGGGGTTCGAATCCACCAGCTGCTCTGCAGGAGCAGGACTGGTAAGCTCTTTCCATATGATTTATAGCCTCAGAAACCTGCCAGAGAGAGGGCCAGCTGTGAGAGGGTTTCAACTCCACAGCAATGAGTTTTGAGATAATCAAGAGTCAGGTCTGATTACCATTCTCATCTTAACAGAGGAAAAATGGAACAACTGGGACATTCTCTCCTGGTTAAGAGCTGCAGTGTGAATCCAGGGGACTTGACCATCTGCTCCGGCGGGGACTGGGGGATGAAAACTGCTAAGAATGCTGTGCACATCAACATGTTCCTGCAGACCTGGGCAGGCCTTTCCTTAGCAGCTATTAGACAGCCTCAGAGGTTTCCCTTTCCCGGTAAAGCTCTTACCTCTTTTTGGGGGGGAACTTTAACTGTGTCTCTTCGGCTTTCTTCAAGGGCCATCTGTAATCTGAGGTCATCCCCCCGCCTGAGGCGTTCTTCCTGCAGAAGGACAACTCCAACTTGAAGCTGATTTTTTAAGTAATTTATTTCACTTTGTTGCTGTTGTTGTGTGAATATAACAACAAAACATGCACCAATTCTTAAACTTCTCCATGGACAATACTGTGTTATTATTTTCCGTAAGCTGCACCACAATCCTCCCACTCTGTGAAATTTTTCTTCCACTAAGGTAATCATAATGCTCCTTGACCACATTATCTGACCTTTCAGGTTGTTACTGTGAGTGTGATCCCACACAGAGAGTTCTTTAAAAAAGCATAGTACTCGAGGCAGATGTTCTTTACTAAGCTGAACTACTGCTTACTTTAAAGAAGATTTCAGGGGTTATTTTTTATTTATGGTTTAACAGTGACCTCAGGGCAACAGTTTCAAGGGTTTATTTGCTTCGATTATAGATTCTGTGATAATCTGAAATTCTGTTCTATTTTCCCCTTTTGAAGGGGAACATACAGTTCTTTTTGTCTCATGGCCAAGGGGATTCATGGAGCCAATTAGCCACAAATTCCATTTCTTCCCCCAAATGCTGACTCTCCTTCCTCCTCTATTGTTCCAGGTGAACAAAGACCAATTATTTTCCTTTGATGGTTTCAAGATCCCCAGGCACAACATAAAAAAAAACCCTAGGAGGTAGAACAGATACACTATAAACACTAAATTAGGCCTATTAACTGGGGAGACAGCTTCAGCAAGTAATATTTGTGTTGTAAATACAGGTATGCGCCATATAACATCCATTTGGACAATGTCCAACCACATAGTCATCAATGATCCCATAAAATTTTGCATTTCCTTCCCCTCCCAGCAACCAGAAAGGATTTACTGGGGACACTAGACACGTTCAACTGGGTAACCAAAAAAGGATAGCAGTTATGCAGAAACCTCTCTGCAGCTTTAAGGTTGACTGGTGCTCCTTGTCAGCCCCATCCAACCTTCCCTGGATGTGCTAGTTCTGGATGAGCTGTGAGCTCTGGCAGAAGGCCTTTCAACAGTTACTACAGGCAAGGGCTTCTCCATTGGCCTCAGCACCTCAGGAGGCTTCTCTGTACTCCACAGCATTGTAGGGCTTCTTGCTTGTGTAAGTGCTCAGACCTTCAGGTGAAGGTCTTGCCACATTGGCTGCATGTGTGTGTAATCACTGGAACCACAGCAGAATGCAGCTCTGCTGTGGATGTGATGGTGAAGTTGAACTAGCCACAGAGGCAGACATGGAGTTTCTAAGCCATGTTGGTATGCTGGTGCTATATATAGCAGCAAAGCTGTACCTGAAGCTCCTGGTATAGGCTCACAGTGGTGTTTTACACTCTGGTTATCATCCTGCTGGAACCCAAAGCCCATACTCATGACCCAGAGCAGCCTGCTCAGGGTCACTGTTGGTCCCTAGAACTCCCTGCAGCACAAGTGTCACAGAGTAGGTTCTTTATGCAGGGTCCAGCCCCTAGTGGCTGGTTCACAAGCCACTCCATCATAACCTCTGGCTCAAAGCTCTCCCTACCCTTAGACTTCTTAAGACGAGCCCTCAGTAAGCGCTTCAGCATCCCTGCATCCTTACTCATCGCCATGACAGAAAGATCTAGCTTGGGAAATGGTAGTACCACTTCGGTTCAAACCCAGAGTGGGCCAATAAGTGTTTTTCCTAACTGCAACTTCCTAGGTATTTTGGGATCCAAATCCAGCAGCTCCTCCTCTGACTGTGGCTGGGAGAATACCTTTAAGGATAGCTAAAGTACCATGTTAGAGATGACAAGCAGGGTCTCCTAGTGGTGGTGGACTCCAGGAAGTATCCTTGATGATGAGAGGCGGACAGGGTAGATCAGAAGAAGACTCTTCATTGTTCACTGGGGCTGTCACCTTCCTCAAGGCCACCTGAAGGTGTGCGCATCAGAGACCCCTATCCACACTGTTTAAGTGGAGGTATAAATGTCCTGGTAGAAGCTTCTTTTTTAAAAAAAAAAAATAGAAGCTTCTTCAGCTCAGAGGACTGAAGAGCTTCGACCTGACTGCAGAGCTTCGACCTGAGCTCAGATTCTAGACCTCTGCCAGTGTAACAGCTAAAAATGGAGGAGCACCACCACCCTGCCCATCCTTCCCTTCAGGAGCATGGCTTTCATGGAAAAGGGTGTGACAGTGCAGCCACAGGAAACAGCCACTGGCTCAGACATTATGTGATCTGGTGTTCTCACAATGACAAATGGCATAAAATCCTATTTCACAGAAAGCTGGCCATTAACTGACGCATACCTGTATATACACAGTACATAATATTTGTCAGTTCAACTTTTAACAGGCACACAACTTTTGACTTCTGTTACATCAATCAGCAGGATAATTTTGGGCCTCCATCAATGAAGTTTTTCCATCATCAACAGAAACCTCCATGAACACACTATCCTCCCTCTCCTCCTTCTTGCATCTGATAACCATGAATCTCTATACATTTATTGTTGTCTTTTTATATGAGAGGTTTCAAGTAGATTTGAATGTATTAATATTGCTAAAAGAAAAATGCAACACTGGCCAGCATCAGGAAATACATCATAGTCTACACTATCTTAAAGGAAAGTTTGAAATCAACTTAGAAAACAGAATTCCTTTTCATAAGTGAATATGTTCAGAAGGCTTCTTCCTCACTGGGCCATATGAGATTTCAACTCCTTTCATGATTGGTAACAAGGAGACTGAACAGTTACCACTAAACTGAGGAAAGAGGCTGTTTAATATTTTTCCTCAAAATAGAATGACTTCCCAGTTCTTTGAATGATGAAATTCAATACAGCACCTTATAAAACACAAAATAAGACAATCCATAAAGAATGAGGAGAATGAGGATCACATAGCATTCCATTTCCAATGCATATGCTTCTAGAAAGCTCTAATGTCTAACATATTGATGCATGCTCCTATTCATAAATATGGTATTATAAATGACACACAAATATAATTGATTAACTAAAAGGGTTCGAACCGTCTGTCTGGGCCCTGCGTCTCCCAGCGAGTGCTCTCCTGCGCATCTGCCTGCACAGACTCGAGGGCTGTGCAACTTTTCTACCTGGGTACAGAGAGGCTGTCATTGAAGCTGTCCACTGTGACTGAGCATCAGCATATTCTCAATCACAAACAGACAAGTACTTCTGGGAAACACCTTTGCAAATACATTCCTAATATCCTTCTTGGAGCACCAGCTCTCTAATGAGAGTTCTGACTGTGAACAGAGATTGGACAACCACAACTTGCAAAGTAGACAACTTGAGAAGAGAATTCTAATCTCTATTCCCTCTGTTTTGATTTTATTAAAGGTATGCATGTTTATTAAAGAACTAGAATTGAAACAAGGTTACAAGTACTTGTGTCCTGAGAACACAAATACTCATCTTTGTTATCTTCTGGCCTCTGAGCATGGCTCTCTGTGTATCTCAGTGAACCACTCGCACCCTCCCAGCCCCTTCAAAGGAGGCACCACTCCCTTGAACCCACAGACTGAACGCAGCACTGGTAAGGAAGCTGTGCTCGCCACACCTGTCCCTCAGCGAGGCTGTGCACTCTGCTCACCAAACACAGAGATGCCCAAATGCCAGTCTAATTTGCATAGGGTTTCTGGAACACCTATTTGTTTGGTTTCTCCCCCAAAACCTTTCCTAAATGTATTATGGCATAGGTTCCTTCACTTATGGGGTAAGTAGTTGACAGTACCTGGAAGCATAAAGTCTCATCTTAGCAACTCCATCTGAAATGTCTTGAAGACAGGGCTGGCTGGGCTGTGATCCTCCCTAAAACCCATCCCGCTTGACTGGGCTGACCACACAGGGCACTGACCTGCTCAGCCACTTCTCTGCTCATGGCCAGTGCCAGCTGTAGCTGCAGTTCCTCCTCTCCGCTGGTCTGGGGCCGGGCTTGCTCCAGCTCAGAGGACACCCGGGGGGAAGTGGCTGCAAGAGCAACAAGGCAAAATGTCAGTGTGTGCTAAAACACTGGGCTGCTAGATTTTATCAAATAACATCATTAATCTACAGGTGCACAATAGTCCAGCAGGACACAGAAGGCTCAGTTATGTGAAAATACTGTGCCCAGCCACGTGCCACGCCTGCTGCCTATGCCCCTTGACAGCAGATTTGGACTTCTCATTCTGTCTGACAGACATAGAGGGAGGACAAATATCCTACTATAGAATCAAAGCCTCTTTTTAAGTTTTCAATTCTGAAGAAGGACTGAACCTACCACTGTTGGACGACTACTACTACCCAAAATTCAAGATCTCATTGCCCCTACTACAGAAAAGACAACAAACAATATTTCCATCAAAAAGAAGTAAGACAAACAGCTCATGGTCTTCTCAGCAGAGCCCCTTTTCCATAGTTAGCAGGCCAACACCAGGCCTGTGAGATCCTTCACATACCTGGGATGGCTCCTAATTAATTTCCAGCCTGGGTAGAAGAGGTACAGAAGGTAGAGATTTACATACAATTGTTTTAATAGTAGGTGCCTAAAGCAAAAGCTGCTCCAAAGATCTTCACCTGGAGAGCTCCACTGCACACACACCACCCCCCACCCCATAATTTCTAAGCCATGGACAATGGCAGAGGGACACTGGTTTAGCCCCTTCCCAAAGCTAATAAGCCAGCACCATCTTGGGCCTGGAAGGGGAGGTGAGGATACATCAATAAAGTCATTTTGAGCATGGTGCCTGATAGCAATACAAGCAGAGGGGCTAGGAAGAGAAGGAATACAATAGGATAAGAAGTCAGCCTGCAGCAAAAGCTGCCCAGACTTGCCCTGGGACTTCCTTGCCCCAAAGCAAGTCACAGCTCATGGACTCTGGCTGACAACCCTGGGATGGCCCTTCCCTATAGCAAGCAAGCTTTCAAAAGAGGGTTCTGTATACAACAAAAAACAGCAGCCAAATCTGCTCCCTCTAACGTGTGTATAGAAGAGCACTGAAAATCCCATGGACTGCCAAAATCTCATGGACTGTCCATCTTAGAGAAAGTGCGACCAGGTGTTAACAGTATATTGCTAAAAATATATGAAGTTTGTAAAGCTAAGGCTTAGAGTGTGAGAAATTAGTAAAGAAGTGTCTTTTAGATAAATACTGAGAGAACTAGAAGTTTGTAAACAAGTATGTAATTGATAAGGCTAAAGTAAAAACATGTATAAGAGAAAAAGAACTACCAAAACAAAAGATGTGAATCAATGCCTCAACAATGACTGGCGACATCCCAAAGTAGTTTACAATAGCAGACTTTGAAAGATTCTACTTGGTCACACTCCCACTTTGAGAGACTCTGATTGGTTACACTCTGAACAGGTTGATGCTGGGAGAAACAATATTTAAATGAACTCCTAAGGCTGCAAACCAGAAGCATCAGAAGACAAGCTACTGTGCTCTCCTCTGTCTCTAGCTCTCTGCAGTTCCAAAAGACTTCACAATAAACTTGTCTCAGTGTGGTGAGCACTCTGCTTCTACTGATTACTCATAATGACTGTAACTGGTATGGAAGTTTGAATATTAATTACTGAGTGTTACTAAGATTTTAATTGCCCCTAATGTTTCATTTTTGGATTGATTTTATGTGAAGTTATCAGTGGGCCCCAATAAAGACTGTAACTTGTAATTAAAATATACTTTGCCAGTATTTTGTTAGCATCTTAAGCCCGTGCAATATACTAGGGTGCTCCTTGGAGGCAAGAATGGTGAAACTCCATCTTATATAAGAAGTGCCAGTACTTGGAGAAGGGCATCATGCTTGGAAAGGTAGAGGGTTAGCATTAGAGTGGAAGACCCTGAACAAGACAGATTGACATACTAACTATAATGTTAAGCTTAACTGTATCAGAGATGGTGAGGATGGTATAGGGGTAGGAGGTTCAGATCCACTGTTTATAGATTTGCTATGAGTCCAGTAAACTTGATAGCACACAACAACAACAAAAGCAAAAACTACGTCCATGGACTTCATCTGGGATGGCTACATATTACGACGACCCCCAATCCATAAACATGGGCAGATGCTGCCATTATAGCCACATCCACTGCCTGCAACTCAGCAACCTGGTCAACCCATACAACCCCACCTGGTAGATATGACTTACAGCTGACCATGCCCTTTGGGCCAGAGGCAAAAAAGTTTAAAGGCACAGTGTTGTTGTTGTTGTGTGCCTTTAGGCTGAAAAGGACTCAGAGCTGACCTGTCATGGTTTCTAAGGAGCTCTAGACCACCCAGTGCCTGGGGGAATCCCCTCACTCTCCCACCAAGGGGCTGGTGGATTCAGGCCACCTACTTTTCGGCTGACAGCATGGCTCCTTCCTATTGATTCACCAGAGCTCCCCGGCTCAATAACAAAGGTCATCACAGAGCAGAAGGCAGATTTCATTTTACTTAGAGTCAGGGATTCTGAAATTCAGTGACCAGTGGGCAGAGATGCAAGATCCCTTCCACCGAGACACAGTAGGGAAAGGTGACACTTCACCAGTCCCTTCTGTGTTATCTGTTCCAGCACTAACGTACAGTACAACAGAATAAAGCACATAACACACATAACATCAGAGCACAGCCTACTATGTATCCCAGGATTAGATGTCAACCAACTACCACCTACCACACACTTACCCCTACCAACAGCACTACACAAACAACTGCACAGATATTCCATTAGCCACCTCAAACAGGCACAGGTAAAAAAAAATGGTTAAAAAACGTACAATAACACATAACCAAAATGTCCTGAAAGCAGAAACCTGGAAAAGGACAGTCTGATGGAACTCTCTGGCAGGGAATTCTGAAGAATGATAATCAAGTGTTTTCACAGAATGTAAGAAAAATATGAAGAACAGAAGGAGGTAATGTAAGAAAAATATTAAGAACAGAAGGAGGTCACAAAGTGCTTAAAGAATTTTTAAAAATCAATAAAACACATAGCAGATACCCAATGAAATGTTGTTGTTGTTATGTGCAGTCGAGTTGTTTGCGACTCATAAGCGACCCTATGTACAACAGCCCTAAACCCTGCTCTATCCTGTGACAATCGCATTGCCTCCGACACACCCGTCGCTATTACCCCAGTCATTGAATCAATCCACATCATAGAGGGTCTTACCCTCCTGCGCTGTCCCTCTACTCTACCCAGCATGATGTCCCTCTC